AGTGATACAGGTTCTGACCTTGTCCGTTTGGTTATTTTTTTTTACCTTTGGAATTGTTCTATATAAGAACGAGTAGTATCTTATATTGTGATTATTATTATTATTTCTCAACATTGCCGAGAATATTGGAGCACTGCAAGGACTCAAAAACACAAAGTAAGGTTATGGATGAGATTTTAGGATCTATTAGCATGTTGGCCCAAGACCAGTATGGAAATTATGTCGTCCAGGTTTGCCATTCTTTCCGGGAACTTATATACATATTATACCAAATATTCTTGAGGGTCTTTTAATGTTTTGCCCTAATGTTCATTAGTTTTAGAGTTTATCTCTGAAATATGTTCATTTTTATCTATAGGCATTTCTATGATATTTCTCATACTGCTTGATGCATGAACTAACCTCAGCCATTTACTTAACAGCATGTGCTGGAGCATGGAAAGCCTGGCGAGCGTTCGGTTATAATTAAGGAATTAGCTGGAAAAATCGTCCAGATGAGTCAGCAGAAGTTTGCCTCTAATGTTGTTGAGAAGTGCTTAACTGTCGGTGGTCCTGATGAACATCAATTGTTGGTGAATGAAATGCTTGGTTCTACTGATGAGAATGAGCCTCTTCAGGTTTTTCCATTTCTTGTGCTGTTTATTTATTCTTTTAAACTTCAAATAGAAATATTTTCTGATTCAATCCTCGTGTTCGAGGAAAAAATGCCTTAGGCAACTTCACTTGGCTTGAAAACAATTTGAGAAAAGCCATGAATGATTACCACCTCAATTTGTACCTGTTTTGGCTGAATATGTAGGTCTTGTTTATCAGAACTATGCATACATTCATATTTGTAATTCGAGTGCTTATATTGCTTGAGGGATGAACCTCAACGCCAAGTATTGAAACTCTAGACAAATGCATATTACACTGATGTCTTGAGATGTCATGTCCTGAGACTGTAACCAGATACTGTCATTTTAAAATCGACTGGATGGTGTTAAGGATTTACCTTCGGCTTGTCTCGAGAAATAGTTTCTCTGAATTTCACGTTATCCATGTAATTTTTACTGACAATTGTTTGTCCGTCCCGGGCAATGATGAAAGATCAGTTTGCAAACTACGTTGTACAGAAAGTGCTGCAGACTTGTGATGACCAGCAACGTGAGCTGATCCTTTCTCGAATTAAGGTCCATTTAAATGCATTGAAGAAGTACACTTACGGAAAACACATTGTTGCGCGTGTAGAGAAGCTTGTTGCTGCTGGGGGTACTGATTCTTTATCATCTTTCACTATTCTCTCGAGAAACCTTCAATCAAATAACATAATCATGACTATGAAACCCGAATTCACAGCACCGAAAATTCACTTATCTTCAAATGATTGATTTGGATTTCATCCCTTTAACCATCATATGCTTTTCATAACTCGTGATTTTACATTGTTTTCAGAGAGAAGAATTGCTGCTCAGTCTCCCAACCCGGCTTAGTTGGTGTATGGAAGAACATGTTTTGTACAGCTAACAGAAGCTATGCGATCTTCTCGTCTTCCTTTTGTCGCCGTATCTTTTGACCCCATCTTTTTATAGACAGGTGCCCTATGGAAATAAAAAGGCTGTTTGTGCTGGAAAAATGTACATTGTGTAGCTTAAGCGTTTATACATAGAATGGAGAAAAGGTGAGGTTTAATAGTTCGAATACATATAACCGGTTGAGCCTGCGGATGAGTTAAAATGATTATTCCCAAGGGTGTAAAAATCTAAACGGTGAGGTAATTTTATATCATAACGTGACTGTACAAAATGTTGGCATGTAGAGCTGTTGAGGCCCGAGTTTTTTACGCCATCAGTTTATGCTTAATGACATTTTCTTCCCTTGAATGCGCAGTTTTCTTTCTTTTTTTAATAGTCGGGTGATTATAAAATAATATTTGTTTATATTATTTCGTAGACGTTAATAATACGTATATATTTTACAGATGTAATTGTTTAGACTTAGACTTTCTAAAGAAAATAATATTATCCTTAGTTATTAAGGTCGATGGATAGGTTTGGATGCATAGTTTTCTTTCTGCAACCTCCCTGTTTATATTTATGGTTATATCAATGAACGTATCCTTTTAGGATATTAGAATGTTGACATCTGCGTTTGTCCTGAATTCTAATTAAAGTATCCAAATATTTATGGGTTATGATCGTATGCCTTCTAATATTTTGCACATTAGCAACCAGATGGATAAAACAAATTGGTAAAATAGACAAAAACCAAAAAAAAATGACTGTTTAGATTATCACGGTTTTAAATTTTGGAAAATAATCATTAAAGTTTAATGTAACTATCTTTAATGTATTTTGTCTGTTTGAATATGATAAAGATAAATCATATGTTCATCATTCAATTATCTACATATTGTTATTTTAGTTATTAAAATATAATTTTTTAATTACTTCTGTTTTGATAACTCAACCTTTAAATAATTAATTATATTTATAATATCCTTGTAATTTACATTCAAATAATATCGTTTTTTATGTTTAAATAAAACCAAATTTAGTCACAGGTTCGTTTTAGTTTTTTTATTTATAAAAACTTATTTTTCTTCATTTCTTTTTTTGTCTCTCCATGTAAATCAATCTAAAATTGGATTACCGTTCTGTCACCGTCAGAGATCGTTGGTAAGTTTTAAAATATTCTATAAAATTCATTTTGTTCTGATCACGAATTTCGTATTCATTTAACAAAAAAAACCCCCATAAAATTGTAATTTCGTTATCGTACATCATCATGTTTGATAATCATTTACGTTAATATGAGTATCGAATGATGGTTTTTTTTTCTTTCTCTCGGTTTCATTCTTTTATTTTAGATCTCTATGAAAGTAGCTTAGAAGTCATGAAAATCAAATTAAAACTCGAACCAAAAGTATATTGATTTGTGTCTCTTTTAACGTTTGATTGTTATTCAATCGATGTATGTTACTCTTCATTGGACGTGTTGTATTTTGACTGTTGGATCTATGACTAGAGATTTGAATATTAAAAATAACAAATTTTAAGATTTGTGGTTTTTGATAAAAGATTTTAAGGTTTTATGATAATAATGTCAACGAGGGTTTTGGGATGGGGTGCTAAGATTTGTGGTGATTCACTAAGATTTTATGACTAGATAATGAAGCAAGTAGGGGTGTTCATTCGGTTAATTCGGTCACCGATCGAACCGAATTATCATTAACTGAATTAAACAATTTTTTCTTAAATTGTTAACCGAACTAAACTTTTTTTCAAAATATTTTTACCAAACTGAACTAGGTTTAGTTAATTTCGTCGGTTAACCGAGTTAACCGAAAATTATAAATAATATATATTATATATTAAAATAGTTAATGTTTTTGGTTAATTTGGCTACAAATGAAGTTTAAACACCCCTAAATAAATAATATATACAATATATTGAATATTTATTAATTTCAGTTAATTTGATAAATTAACAGATTTCGAACCGAATTAATCGATATGTTTTTGGTTAATTCTGTTAATTTGGCTACAAATGAAGTTTAAACACCCCTAAATAAATAATATATACAATATATTGAATATTTATTAATTTCAGTTAATTTGATAAATTAAAAGATTTCGAACCGAATTAATCGATAACCGAAATTTCAAAAAACTATTAACCTTTAATCTATTGAACATATAATTAACCGACCAATTAATTAAAAAAATTCGATTCAGTCGGGTAATTCGATGTTAATAGAATTATGAACACCCCTAGAAGTGAGGTCAGTGATGTTTTAAGGGTGGGAAGATTAGAGTTTAGGGTTGGGATAATGTGGGATTGTCGTAAGGGGTCTAAATTGGTTGATTGGGGTTTGTGATTTGAGGGACTAGAAATTTTAATTTTTGTTAATTTTAAACTTATTTGACGTTTAATATTAATAAAACACATGTTATAATGAAAATTAATAAAATAATTTATATTATAATAGATTTTATAATTTAAACAGTGAAAGTAATTAAAATGATTCATAAGTTCAATAATTAAATTAAAATTTTCTAAATTTCAATGGTCAAAATAAGAATAAGAAGTTAATTGAGTGAAAAACAGTGCAGTTTACCCATGATAATATTTAAACTATAACACATATATATAAACATAAATACTTTCAAGGGAAATAAATAAATGAGTGGGCGCAAATACTTTCAACGGTTAAGATAAGATAATATAAACACAAAAAGAAAATGTAGATTTATATTTATTATATTAAAGAACTGGAATACAAAATAAAAAGGCATTACAGTATTCTTTATAAAAACTAATTTTTTATTGGTAAACACGTAAATAATATTATTTAAGAAGCTGGGAGTTTGAAATTCAAATTATGCCGATTTAATTAATCTTATATCGCATTTGTTTAATTATGCTGAGTTAGGATCTGTCTTTTATATAATATTTTATTATATTTTTTTATTAGTTACAAGATTTTATATATCAAATGAATGTTTAAACAGATGTTATAGTCGAATTTAAAATATTAAGGATAAAAGTTATTTCTTTAATCATTTGATTTGTGTTTTGTTAATATTTTATTATGTTTTTTATGATAATAATAAAAAATAAAAAAGGAAAAAGAAACATTGATCTGAAGTGGATAAACCCATTGATGAATATCCATCTTACGGCCCAGAATATTCCACGCTGTCTATAAAATATTCATCCCAGCTGTTCACCAACATTGACTTCTCCTATTGGTTAGTCCGCTATAAAGAAAGAAACCCTCAAATATCAAAAATACCCTCAAAAGTTCACCTTCTCCACTTACTTGCCGCCTCCTCTCAACGGAAACATGTCCATTCCCGAAAATAAATCCCCCAACATCTATGATCCAGCGCGACCGGTTCCACCCGTACGACCCGCAAATTACTTACGTGTCGAAGAATTATTGGATAAACCCCTGTTTTTTTTTTAAAATTTAGGATGTTGAGATATTTAGCAGATCAAAAATATCTGGCTAAGTCGTCCACGTTGGCGGACCGATCTGGAATCTGGTGTTGCACTTTTTTCTTGCTTCTCTTCCCCCCCTTTAATTTTCCCTAAAAAAAAAGTTCTTTTTTTCTTTGGTCCCAAACAGCCGCCCGATTCTTATGCAAATATCTGAAAATCTCTTCAGACTTTACTCTTTTCTTTCCGATTCAAGCAACGAAATTTGAAGAACAGCTAAAAAAAAACTAATAAGATCCCTGATTTGGAGGCAAAAAAAATGGGAGAAGAAGTGAAGATGAGTGAATTTGAAGTTAACGGCGGAGACGACGAGGCCACCGCAACAGCCAACACCGCGTTTGTTGACGAAGAAGATGATGTTGACCAGAGAGTTCTCGAATGGGAGATTGGATTACCCGACTGCGATGATTTAACTCCGTTATCTCAATCCTTAATCCCACCGGAACTCGCCTCCGCTTTCAGTATCTCGCCAGAGCCTCGTCGGACAGCTCTAGATGTCAACCGTGCCTCTTACTATACTCTCTCCTCCCTCCGATCAAGCGGAGCCCACTTCTTCACTGACAATAACAATAAAAACAGCAATAATAACGATCTCCATTCTTTTAATAACCCGATTGTAGTGGAACCGGAAGGTGACGGATCGGGTTCTGGTTCTGGATCTGAACCAAAGAAGATGAGGAATACGGATGTTGGTATTGCAGAGGAAGCGGATTCAGCGGTTAGGACAACGGAGAATTCGGAGGATCCATCAGCGAGGGCATTGAAACGACCGCGTTTAGTGTGGACACCGCAGCTGCATAAGAGATTCGTTGATGTGGTGGCCCATTTAGGCATAAAAAACGCGGTTCCCAAAACAATCATGCAGCTAATGAACGTAGAAGGCTTGACCCGCGAGAACGTCGCAAGTCATTTACAGAAATACCGGATTTACTTGAAAAGAATGCAAGGGTTAAGCAACGAAGGACCATCAGCTTCCGATCAGCTGTTTGCGTCAACGCCGGTGCCGCAGAGTCTTCGTGAGAGTGGAAGCGGCGGCTGTGTAGGAGGAGGGGGAAGTGGTCTTGTTGGTGGTAGTGCGAATGGCAATGGGCATGTTGGGATGCCTATACCGATGCCTTACGGGGCACCTTTGGTGCCTGTAGCAATGCCGATGTACGGACACTTGGGTATGCATCAAGGAGGGTACCATCATCAGCAGAATGGGTATGAGACGAATTCGTACGGAATGCAACCGAGAGATTGGCCTGGTGGGAATAAATATGGATCGATGATGTCGTATCCGAATCATATGGCTCCCAATGATAAGTTAAATTAGCTGGATTTTTGTACAAAGGTTAGTTCCTTGCTTTCTTTTTTCAGTATTAGAATATGATTTTTCAGCTTTATTGTCTGGTTGGGTATTAGTTACAAACTTATAATTGTATATATCTTGCTAATTTGTTTGGAAATTTTGGTTCTTCTAAGTAAAGTAAGCTTGAGGTGTAGTGTGGTGTACAATATTGTAGGCTTTGGAACTTGCATAGGTGTTGATTGGAATGGCAAATTGAAATGCTATAATTGAGCTTAGCCTTAGATTATTTTGTTATTATCAAGAAAGGATGTGACAATGTGGTTTAGACAGGATTAAGAGGCATTAATTTCGTATTTTGCTTAGCTAGAAGAAAAGGAATCAGTTTGCTCTTATGTTACTTGATTATGGTTCATGCCTGCTCTGCATAAAGAATTAATGTATGATTGTCTAGACTTGTTGTGGCTTGTCAGTTGGTAAGCATGCAGAATTATGGTAAGAAAATTCGATTTAATGTACAGTTTGATATGTGAATTTGATTCGGTGTAATTATATACATGAAATCTTGATTTTGGCTTAGTTATATGCATTTTAAAAAATCAAATAAAACCAGGTATTTCATGTTAAGTAAATTTAGTTATACATGAAATCTATAAGTAATCATGCATTTTACATCACCGAACTTGATATCAATTTGCATGTATTTCACAATCCTCTAGTTTCATCAATTTATATCACTAAACTTTTATCTATATTTGCTTATACCATTATTTGTACTTTTGAATATAATGCTGTCTGCTTCATTTACCATTGCCTCCATTTTCCTTGTCTTTTCCCCGTTCTTTGCTCGCGCGTTATCAATTTATTGCCTGTGGTTCGATAACCGTTTGTGAAGTGGCTTTGCTCCAGGTTGGTTGCTCGTTGATTACTGGTGATGAAACCATGGTTATTCTTGTTCCTTAAAACGACCGTCATAGAAGGCATCGATTTTATGTTTCTTATGTTCAGTGATACTCTGAAATGGCTGGGAATTATTCTTTTGTAGATTAATTTTTGTATGAACTTGGTGTTCACTGTGACACTCTGAAATGGCTGGGTTCTAATGGTTTTTGGCAGACAGAGAAAAGACATGTTGGAGTATATCTAGGTGGAGACTTCGAGGTATGAATGAGAGTTGGCAAAGAGAGAACCAAACCTCTCACTCTCAGGGTATTATCGTATTATTGCTATCTTGAGTTAATTAGGCGCTAGGGAAAGTCCAGGAAACTTGTTATTCACTTGATAATTATCATTAACCTGTGTATTATTGAATATATTAACCCCTTTTTTATATTCTTTTGGCCATTGAACAAAAGCAAACGCTATAACGACTTTATGACCTTTTCCTTTTAGAGAACTTTTTTTTCCCAATTGGCTTGAGCATGAAGTAATAATATATATATATATATATATTTAAATATATATTTTAAATATATAAAAATAATTAAGAATTATTATATTATTGTGAAATAAAGAAAATAAAGTAACAAAAGATATGAAAATAGATAATTTTATATTATTTTTCAATATAAATTTAGTACAAAGTTTTCTTCAAATTATATATAGATATAAAGAATAGGTATTGTAATCACCATTTTTACCTCCCCATTCCAGCAGCTCCACGTTTCAGCTTTAACATTCCAGCAAGCCGGGACAGTAGCCCCCATTTGGCCAGTGACTCACCGGGTTATCCTCCTTTAACCAGTCCAAAGGGTGTACGTAAAAGCCCCCATCAATGAAGCAAAGAAAAAGGGGGCAGAGCAATCAAACAGAAAAAAATAATAAAATAGAGTGAAGATACCGAGCAACTTACCTTCGTTGGAGCATCCAAATCGCCAGAAAATCACCGAAAAACCGAAGGTAAAAATTTAGATTTACAGAGTTTGGGGAGTTTTTAGAACAAGAGGAAGCCGAAATCGGATTTAGAAATGAAAGAGGATTTTTTGGGGTAATTTTATAAAATTTCGGCCACCGTAGACGGTGGCCGACCGGTCACCGGTATCCCTCTGGTGAGGGAGCTCTAGAGAGAAGCAAATGAAGAGAAATGATAATTTAGGCCTATTTATACCCTCACCAAAACTACGTCGTTTTGGTGAGGGCCTCTGTGTAATTTCCCGCATGAGAAAACCATACGCATTATCCCCTGATTTTGTAGACTTCTATTTTAGTCACTAAATTAAGTTTTCGAGCATTTTAATTTTGTTCCCTAATTTTATTTTATTATATTTTAGTCCTTTCTCGTAATTATAGGTAAATAATATATTTATCCCCTATAATTTTATTAATTTTTAATTCAGTCCTGAATAATTAATATAAGATAAATCATACTGTTAGTACTTAGTTTTTAAAATATTTTGAATTAGAGCTTTTAATTTTAATATGTTATAATTTAGTCCTTAATTTTAATACTTCCATTTATTTTACAATTTTTATTACCTTTTATATTTTAATAATATAGTTTTAATTTTTTATTTTAGTCATTATTTGTTTATTTTTATATGTTTATATATTTAATTATTATTGTTATTATTATGTAGTTATGTAAATATATATAATAAATAATATTTATTTACTTATTTACTTATTTTTATATTTTATATTAAATAAAAATCCTATTTAAAAATTTAATTTTATATAAATTACTTTTAAGAAAAATAATTCGGAGGTCGTGGGATCGAGTCCCACGGAGGGCATTTCATAATTCGGAGGTATTCTACGGAAGCTGCTCTCATCCTAGTGTTGGGGGCAGCCTACTATCTTACCTCCCTCTTACCCCATTACATAGGGGAACAAGGGACAACCATTTATTTTTTTATATTAAGAAATTGGCTGTCTTAAAGCACCTAGAAGTCATTTTCTGATATTCTTAAATAAATAAATATCATATTTTTATAAATTATATATATTAATTTTAATATTAATTTATTTTTAAATATTAAGAAATTGATTATCTTAAAGCACCTAGAAGTCATTTTCTGATATTTCTAAGTAAATAAATATCTTATTTATAATATATATATATATATTAATATATATATATATATATATTAATATATTTTCTTAAAATTATATTAATAAATAACAGTATTATGAATTAAATATATTTTTGAATTTTTAAATTTCCAATAATAGAGACAATTTATAATTAATGAGTACCAATTTTGGGCGTTGTGGGGGTGCTAATCCTTCCCCAAACGTAATCGACTACGAATCCCTTTTTGTTATTAAAAAGAACGAATTTTTCGTTAAAATGCAGACCAGTTTATCTTTTAACCAATGTTTTCTTAAAAACTCTTTTAAAAGATAATTTTTAGGTATTCGACCTACATGACCCAAAAGGCCGATAGCGACTCCCAAAATATTTTAAAACCATGTATTCACATCACTTTTCCCGTCAAGTAAAATTTCGTGCCCGGGCAAAAACCGGTTACGACAGCTTAGCGACTCCACTGGGAACTGGTCAAGCTTTAAAATCAATTATAAATTGTCTCTATCAATTATAAATTAAAAATTCATATTTACTTAATTTATAATTCTTTTCTTTTAAATCTTTTATACTTATACTATTTATATATATATATATATATATATATATATATATATATTCTTCTTTATTAATATTTTTGCTTTATTTTCAGGTATTAAATTTTTATTTAATTGCTTGTTAAAGGTTTGAAAATTTCTCTTCACACACAACACTTGCATTGCATATCATAAGCTTTATAATCAAGCTTGTCCCTTTTAAGTGGGAGTGAAAGCGACGTCTTCGTGAGAATTTATTCTCCGTGTCAGACATAGCAAGTAGCTTTCGGGGTTCATATGCTCCATGTCTTCGTGAGAATTTATTCTCCGTGTTAGGCATAGATAAATGTGTCCCCTCGAATTGAACTCGATCTACTTTAGTCTGTGATGAACTAGGATTGAGGGTTAGCAGCCCAATAGGGCACCAACAAGGACAGTTCGAGTACCTTTACTCCTATAACTGAAACCCTGCATATAATAAACCCTAGAAACTCTCCCGATCTGAAACTATGCCGAAATTTTGTCCAAAATAGGTGTACACAAAGGATAAATAAGCTTTAGCTTTTAATTTATTTAATTTATTAGTATTTTTCCCTCTCTGATTAATTACATGCGAACTAGAAATCATGCGATTAGGTTAATTTTTCCCAACTAAGCATGGAACTAGAAAGCATGAGGTTAGGATTTATACCATAATAGATAGATTTTTTTTCTTTCCATTAGTTGGTACTAACATTTTATTTTTTTCTTATTTTTTCCCATGCCTGTTATTTTGCTCTAATTTATTTTATATTGATTTCTTTTGTTTACATTGCATGATCATGACATAACCAAAAGGTGTTGACTTAAAAGACTGTTCATCAAATTTGAAAGAATTCATAAATGGACAAAAAATTTTATGATCAAACAAAATATGACACAGCCAAGGAAAGACGTCATGAAGAAAATCCGAGGATATAAGCGAGCAATGCACACATAGATCCTGTTATATTAATACCAAAAGTATTCCACAAAGATCCTGTTAGATTGATACCAAAAGCATTCTACAGCAAGAGTATCAGTCAGGGCATTCAGAATAAAGGAGGTCTTTATGAAGCTCAAGCATGTTATTTGAAGAATCAAAACAATAAATTGAGCACAAAAGTGGAAACCATGCATTTACATTTCACATCTTTGCATTTTGCATTTATTGTTTGCTTTTGTATTGTACAATTTGCATTCTTATTTTTATTTCTTCATTCACACCTTTTCATACATGCATTTGCATTTACATATTTGTATTTTTATATGTGTATTTACATTTACATTTTTTGCATTTGCATATTTGCATAGTTACATCTATAGTTTCAAACTTACATCATGCATTAAAAAAATTCATTCGTTAAAATAAGGATTTCAACCAAAGTGATTTTGGTTCTTCCATGTAGAACGCTTAGCATGATATAAGAAAAATGTCTAAAGAAACTGAGGATAGGCTAGCCAAATTTAAGATAGAGCAAAAAAGAGAGGCAAGAAGAATTGAGGAGCAAGTTCGCACAAATTGAAACTAATATCGCAAATTCTCATATCGATCTACTGAACATATGAAAGAAATGATTGGGAAGTACCAGACTGATGGAAAGAGTCTTGTTGAAAACCCCACAAATCCTATGAGTGTTACACCTGTTCACATTCCTGAGCACACCACTGTACATCAGGAAATCCAATCACCAGTTCACTTCGCTGTTAAAAACTCACAATATCAAGCTGGAGCTTCGTTCCCCACTGATTGCCCTATTACTTCTGGAGAGACGATTGAGTCATTTGATGGGTTTGACGCCAAAAAGCTAAGTTTGGTCCCCGACTTAGTTCTCCCACCAAAGTTCAAAGTTCCAGATTTTGAGAAGTATAATGGAACCACATGCCCTTCATATCATATCACTATGTACTGTCGTCGTATGGCTGGCTATGTGGAGAATGAAAAGTTGTTAATCTACTATTTCCAATACAGTTTATCTGGGTCTGCATCCAAATGGTATAATCAGCTAAAACATACTCCAATACGTTCTTGGAAAGACTTAGCTCAAGCTTTTTTGGGTCAATACAAGCACATGGTTGATATGGATCCTGATCGATCAATGTTGCAAAACATGATTATGAAGTGCAATGAAAGCTTTCGACAATATTCACAATGATGGAAGGACGTTGCTTCTCAAGTACATCGACCATTGACTGAAAGAGAGTTCACTACTTTGTTCATCAGCACATTCAAATTTCCCTATATTAATCACATGATAGAAGTTGTCCCTAATAATTTCTCTGACATCATCATGAGTGGAGAAATGATCGAAATAGCTATCAAGAATGGCAAGATAAGAGGCTCTGACAATACTGATGTCGAGAAAGAAGCTGGGGTTAATACATTGAGGCCTTATTCAGTTAAACATGGTGCCAAACCTTATAGAGTGGTCAAAAAGAAAAAAAATGTGTAGGGTCTTCAATTTCCTTCATTCTATTGTTCGAGTGAAAAAATGCATCCAAAAATGCTCTCAACCAGATTAATTACTCCACGACTTATTCAAGCACAGTGGCCTCCAAATGAGAATTGGACCTATAAGGAGGTTCCTTGGATAAATCAGACTGGAATTCCAAATTGTTCAGCTAAGGTTCCTGGTGACCTTGAGGGAAATTTCCAAGATCCTTTGGAGCAAGCAATTCAAAAATGCAAGGTAAAAGAAGGGGTTAAGGTTCAATGCTTAGAAATTGTTGTTTCAACATAGACTAATGTGACCAAATCCTGCGAAGAATATAGGGCGCAAGAAAATAGGAAAAGAAATCAAAAG